GATCCATCAAATGCTTGTATCACATAACTTAGGGGAGTTTGATAAATTTGAAGGAATCACAAACACTAAAGTAAATAGCAGTAAAATGCCAGTGCCCCTACCAAAGTGGTGGTTGCAATTCTTGAAAAAATATGAGACAACAATAGAAAAAGGGCAGAAATCTTTCTACAAACCTCAGCAATAATCTCAGCTGATACTACACCAGTTTCTTCTTTCAATTCCCTAAGGGCTGCAGACTCAGGCTCCTCCCCATCCTCAATACCACCCTGATTGTTAGGCAACCCAAAAAATAAAAGATTATATAAATACACAACAAAGACCACTAATGGGACCCTTTTCGATCCTAGAAGCTAAATAAAATTATTCATTTTCCGAAAGTGAATCCTCAATAACATTTAAAATATAAAAAAATTGTCCCCAGAAACTTTAAAAAACAACAATTAATCCATACTAATAAACAATCTCTTGAAAATAAACACATATGAGCATGAATAGACAGATCAAGCTTCAAGCCCATATTCATATTGCAAAGTTAATTGCCAGAAAGTGAAACTAAACCAAACGCAGAGCTTTCAAAAAGGTATTTTGGCTTTTCTAGAAGCTGATTTCAGCATCTAGGAAGTTTAAAAAAAAAAAAAAATCAAGATAAGTCTTTCATGCAACATTTCCTAAATTTGATAAATACTATCAGTTTCTAATTTTTTTTTTTAAATGTCATCATTATATCATATATAAAAATTCCACTTCTGCAAACAGACTCTCATGTATAAAAAGAGCTATGATCTTTAATGTCTGTGTTGAAAACATGGAAAACAGAGGATGAAAGCGGAAGCGGAGGTATTACCTGAGGCATTTGCCATGCTCCGGAAACATTCAACCTGGAAGCCACGAAAACCTGTAAATAAATAGAGATTAGATCTTCTAATATTAACGAAATCACAAAAAATTAAGAGGAACATTCAGAATAAATTAGTCTTTTATGTTTAAGACATATCTTCACATATGAAATTATTTTTTAAGTATTATCATAGATACAGTTAATTTAACAACATCCTATACCCCTCAAAAACAAATAAATTCACTTAAGCACTGTACAAATGCTTTCGGTAACACTTATATGATAATAAATAGGCCTATGAAACCCTATCATATAGACTTTTATGATGTGCTTTTAAAGTTTCTTTTTGACCAGTTTGACAGAAAGTAGACTTTATATATAGACTAAAGTGATAACAATTCAATAGTTAATAGACCAAATTAAATTTTAGCCAAAAAATAAAATAAGTAAAACAAGAGACTTCCTCAAAATGCGGCCCTTGTGATGAGAGATCTAGTGGAGATCCATACAAATACTGTTTTTTTTTTTTTTTTTAAGAAAACTCATACCAGTTGTTTTACAATGTCATTTACCCGAGGACATTTCAATGATTTTTCTTATATATCAAAAAGTTAAAAGTTAATTGTTTAACATCATATAAATTTTAATATCTAACTCTAATCTTAACATTACAAAAATTTAGACATCAAACTCTATCCTCAAATCACAGCACATCATTGGGCATTCCAACGATGATCCTCAGATTGTGGACTGTTGAAAAGCTAACACGTGAGAAAAAATTCAGAATCTAGTTAAAATTGAATATTTGATGATGAGTCAAAATGAAAATGTCTTTATTTGTACAAAATTTTCAAAGATTAGTGTGATGTGGGTTCCAACATGCAACTCCAAGGCGTTTATTTCAATCCTTTATCAAAACAAAACATTTTTGTTTCTTTCTTTTTCCTCCCCCTATCGTTCTAATTCCTCTCCCCTTTGGCACACTCCCCTTTCTTCTATTCTCTATGCTTCTTTTATCATGCTCAAATTGTGTTTTCCCAAGACAATTAGATCTTAAGAGATAGCAAAGTCATTGGCTTATGTTGATTAAGGCGAGTAAGTGGATAATGGGTGATGAGAAAAAGCTCAAAAGGAGATGTGCCAAGATTATGCCGAATGAATGTTAAAGAGGTGACAATTCTTTTCATCATTCTCCCAGTAATTTCCTTTATTTTTCTGATTTTCTATTATCATTTCCCAAAATCAAACTGAAAATGGCTATGTTGGATAGGAAGCACCACGTGCTCATCCAAGCATTGTTGACACGTGGTCCTCTAAGGAAGAAGCTCCACTCCGTTTTCAGTGGCATCATTGGCCTAAACCCAGGTTCTATTTATTTTGAAGTTTTTTA